TTTCTTATAGGGTGCAAGAATTAGTTTTGGTGGGCAGGTAAACAACTACAAGAACACAGTATCACAAGTCGTGAACATACTAGGGGATGAAAACACTGCTGCAAATTATCTCAGCAAGTGCATATACTCACTTGGAATGGGCAGTAACGATTACCTCAACAACTATTTCATGCCTCAGTACTACTCGTCTAGTCGCCAATATACGCCTGAACAATTTGCCGACGTTCTTATTCAACAATATTCCCGGGGAATAAGGGTAAGTATACCCTTTTGTGTTCTTGCTTCTACCTTAAATGTATACTATGCTTAAATTTTATTGATCTTTATTTATCCAGTTAACTTTTTTTTTTAATAGTTAACTAGTACTAGTACCACATGCGACAAAACATCACTCGATTTTGACCCAGAGTTGCTGATATACAATTACAACACTCTATCTGTGTGTGTGTTAAATTATTTTGTATAAATTGAAACCTTGTCAACTAAAATGATGTGAGTTTTTTTCATGATGTGTGCTCTAGGCTTTGTACAATTATGGAGCAAGGAAATTTGCCTTAATAGGAGTAGGCCAAATTGGATGCAGCCCAAATGCATTGGCCCAAAATAGCCCAGATGGAAGATCATGTGTACAAAGAATTAACAATGCAAATCGGATTTTCAATACCAAGCTCAAGTCTCTGGTGGATGTACTCAACAGGAATCTAACGGACGCAAAGTTCATCTACATTGATGCTTATGGCATTTTCCAGGATCTGATCAGTAAATTCGATTTCATTTTCGATAAATGTTTTTGTCAACATTGTTATTTTAGTATTAAGATTAGATTTTTCTCGACTTCATTACTTGATGAGTCCTATTTGGATGTATGATAAGTGACTTAATATTAGGGATGGAGATAGGCCCAACTACCATAAAATCTAGTATGAGGCTTTAGATGGGTTGAGTCGGCCAGATATCTAGATTCTTTTGGCCCAGTCAGTCTAAGGGCCACTAGCTCGAAGCCGAAACAATTGCAGCACAGTGGCCATTAGGCCAACCTCTAAATCCTTGCCATTTTGACCTAAATGGAAGAAAATGTGATATCATTTCACAAAAAAATTAAAATGTTTGTATTGATATTTGGTTTTAGGTTTTAGGGTTATGAAAGCTGGATGTTGTGGTGTGGGGAGAAACAATGGCCAAATAACATGCCTTCCTTTTCAAATTCCATGCCGAAATAGGAATGAGTATTTATTTTGGGATTCTTTTCACCCAACTGAAGCAGCAAATATCATTGTGGGGAGGAGGTCATACAGCGCTCAATCTCCTTCGGATGCATATCCATTTGATATTCATCGCTTGACACAACTTTAAGGATAGAGCTGAAGAGTATGGCGCCATGAGAAATTTTATAGCATTCTTGCTTGCATTTTGTATCGCTATATGGATTTGGATCATTTCCGATTCTTTTTTCTAGATTTTTCATAAGTAGGTCGTCATGAATTCAAACAAAAGGCTAAACCTATAACTAGATTGTCCACCAATTTAAATTAGATAATCTCCAACTAATGAAAATTGTGGTATTGGGGGAATACACATCAATCACTACCTAGTCCTATGTTTATGTTGTCATTGTTATGAGAGATGTGATGTTATTGTATTACAAAGTACAATTGTTTTGAGGGATGTGATATTTTTGCACTACAAGGTTTCTTTTTGTCAACTGTTGTTGTATTACAAGTTCAGTGAGGAATTGTATATCCTTTATTGGTGGTAAATGTCTTGTGCTTTATTTTCTCTGTTTTCATTCGTTGTACCTCTGAATATCCCAATTTGACGAGACAAAATTAAACACATATAACACCTAGGTGGATGAACACGATTACTCTAGGTTCTAACTGTGACACCTAAAAAATTGGGGTCATTAATTTAATAAAATTCGAACAGAGTCTCATTTGTACGGATAGTTCTACCCAAAATATTACCTGTGCAATTATACTACATTGACTATACTTGGTCCATTTATGAATAAATATTGACCACACCGGGTCCATTTATCCATACTCATATAACCACATGTAATTTTTTTTTTACATTAAAACAGTCCATATGAGTTCGATTACAATTTTTTTATATTTATATGCCAAAATTAAGTCTTCATAATAATTTTATAAAATCTCAAAATAAAGTGACATCTCTGCTTTTCCTCTTTCTTAAGAGCCCAAATGAAAATCGTCCACTGGTATGTATCCCGCACCTGAAATGTTGTCCCATAAAAGGTGAGTCACGCTTAATAGGGTATCTCCTAAAGAGATTACTCTCCAACTTAGATGCATATGAAATGTTCACATGCGACAATCAATCATTCAAACATTTCAATCAAGAATATTCATTCAATGATAAAAATTCTATGTCATGCCATGAAATGAGATAAGACTCACTCATGCATTTCAACTTGAGCCCTCTCTGACTCATTCAACACAATGCAATGTCAATGTGTATAAATCAGTTATTAATGATATACGTCTAATGATATTTTTAAAACAAAATTATGTGTCTTTGTCATAAAACAAAACTATGTGGCTTTGGACATTATACATCGAATGACTATTTTATAAAATAAATACATTTTTTTGGAATTTCACCTCAGGAGAGTGCATGAACCAGGTATTTTATAAAACAAAATCATGTGTCTTTATTGGGTAACAGAGTTTTGGTATCGCACCGCTGGTTCCGCACACTAATATATTTTTTCGGAATTTCACCCCGGGTGAGTGTATGAACCAGGTAGTCGGGTCTTGCACCTAAGGGAGAATCTAGCCTCACTTGCTGTACCCGACACAAGTTTTTCATTCAACCATGTAACTCAGTCAGAATTTCGTTCCAGCTTTTCCCGAGCCCACATATCATCCACCAAGAATGATGTTTGATCGGACCATGCATACACATGCCCACACTCACGTCCAATGCCCATGAATGTGACGTCTATATCATACTCAATATGCAATGAATGTCCAATGAGCAATTTTCATCATTTTATTGTCAATTATATCAAAAGCAAATAATGCCCACAATTCATCATAAATGCTAACATATCATAAAACATATATTATCATTATATCCAATAACAAATTCCAAGTATGTTAGCACATACTCAATGCCAATAACACATTTAATTCAAAAGGCATAATACAAACACATAACATGCCCACATAATACCATGTTTCTAAAAAATCACATTATCTATGCAAACATACTTAATTTCACATTTGTATTTAATCAAATACCTTCAAGGCACGTCGTCATATAATCACATACATGCCCAATTTTCATCACATAATTCAAGAATAACATTAGATAATTTCTAAATACCTAATTTAAGATAGAATTTATTCTATCCATTTTAGATACTCAAATTATCAAATTCTCAACAATAGGGCAAGTGCCAAAAATGTTTAACAACCTACCCATTTTATATTACATTCTAAGTTAAAAAAAAACCTAGTTAGGATGAAAATCCTACCTCTTGAAACATAAAATGAATTGTAGAACTTTCAAGAACACCACCCAATCTCAATCTTGAATTTTCCCCCAAAATTTTATATCGAAAAACTTTGGTGGAATCCGTCATTTTTGGTATGGACGAGTAACTCTTGTCGAAGAGAACAACTTTAATACTTAGCTCGAGTTGATTTGATAAACGAGGAGACATAGATCGTAGAGAAAAGTTAGATTTTCTCTCTTTTCCCTCTCTTCCTTCTCCAACGTGAACCCAATAGAGAATAGAGGAAGAAATTTGATTTTCTACTCCTTTTTATAGTCTCCAAACACTTGGTCAACAACGCGCCACACGACCTCTTTTTCTAGGTCTGTTTTCGCCGTGAAACGATTAAATTTTACTCTGATTCAAGTTCAAATATTTTTATTTCAACTTACTTTAACTAATTTTTGAAATTTTGAAATTTTATTAAAAATTTTGTTTTTGGGTCACTTGAGACCCAACTGCCTTGTAAAACGTGTAAAAATTTGACTATCTAAGAATTCGACAAAAATTGATAGGATTTCTAGATTTTGTGAGAAAAATCTAACGGTGAAATCCGTTGCATCATCCGAGCTCTAGAAAAATTTAGGTTTGTAACCCGTACTGTAGCGACAATTTACCCTTTTCCCCTTTTTCATAAAAGTTCAAATTTATCCAAGTTTTACATGAACTGTTGAAAATGTTACCTTCAAACTCCAACCTACATTTTCATAATTACAAGTCAAGCATTTTATTGTTCGACTAGGCAACAGCCACCTTAAAAGGAAAAAGACAGTAAAATTTTTGAAAAGAAGAAAAGTTTAGTTCTAGTAAACAGTCGAATAATGCTAAATATTCAGCTATGAAAAAGTATTTTTACAGCTAAACTCTCCTCATCATTCATCATGTCATTTGGTCATCTTTTTTGATCTTTAATTTTGGCCGGTGTAACATTACAAATGTGCCAAAGGTAAACTCTCCACGTCATTTTATCATGTCATTTGGTTATCATTTTTAATCTTTAATTTTGGTCGGTGAAAAATTACAGGTGTGCCAAAGTGAGACGTGGAAGAAAATTAATGGCAGACATGCAATTATGAGTATAATTATTTATCAACTATGAGTATAATATATCCTTACTTTTTCTAGGTCAAAAGGTAGAAATTGTAAGCTTCAAAAAAAAAAAATAATTATGGAGATTATGGTTGGTAAATGCACAAAATCAACCTAGCCTTGGCTGGAAATCTCCCATGTGCTATACCCCACTCATTGTCAGCTGGCAAGATTTTCCAAGGTTCTTGATGATTTGTTTGGTATATAATCCATTATATTTTAGAAAAGAGTTATTTATTTTTTATTTCCACGTGGTTTCGATTATAAATATTTTACTTACTGGAGTTTAAAATTATACACATTAATTTATCGTAGTTATGTATTAAAATGAAATTATTACTTTTATCATCTAAATTAATGAAAAGTGTGCTCACATGCCAAAACATAATGTGGGTTTTATTTTCATTGTTTCCCTCTAAAAGTTGTCAAAGTTAAGGATGACACTAGACTGGGCGAGGGAAGTGGAGTAGTCTCCACCCCCATGTCTGCTTCAAAAATATTTGTCTATCCTCATTCGTAAGAAAAATTTTAATTCTCGTCCCTCTTCCCACCCATAATAATTAATTTTTATAATTTTAAGAAAAATTAAAAAATTCCCCTAAAACCTCACAAAATAAATTTATAGTATATAACTAATGGATTAAACATGAAACTCACAAAAATAATATGTATAATAAATGTAACCCACATAAAATAATTAATTGACACACACACACACATAGACAATCAGATATAGGGGTGTCTATGGACTAGGTTGGACTAGGCTTGCAATTATTTTTTCAAGTTAGACCTGGATAGTGTAGGCTCAAACTCTTACATATACAAGTTATCGAACCGGCCGAAATTCGAGTAGGAGTAGATTACCGCAGCCTAACCAACCACTCACTGGCCGCGGCTATTGGGCTGGCCAAACCCGCAAACTAATCAAAAAGCATACTTGGAAAACTAGCAAACTAACAACTCTAGTTTATACCGAAAGGAAAAAGGCTAGCCAAACCCGACAATAACAGGTGAGAATTATTTCTGACTTGGTAGGCGGACGGGCCTTATATATATATATAATTTTATTTAAAATATGTTTAACTTAATATTTTTTTAAATTATATTTTTGAATTAAAAATAGAGTTAAAATAGATAAAAAAAATAAAAAATAGTCAAATTTTCAAAGTTTCAATAGTCAAAATTTTTTTAAACAATTGCGTGGAGCAGGAGACGGACTAGGTGGACGGACCGAGCTAGGTTGGCGAACAAGCTCATGGCCTGAGTTTTTACAGGCATTCTTATAGGCGGGGTTTTGGGGTGGGTAGTGGGTTTGAGGGAAATCCAAGCCTTCTCTTGAAGATATTGGGCAAGAACTTGGGCAGACCAATTAATAGACTTATTAGGTTTTGAGCCTATTTTTTTTAATCAGGTAACGAGAACTGTTAACAACTCGCCCTATGGACACCCATACACACACATATATTTTACGAGTCTAAGCAAGGTGGGGTGGGTACGAGTTTTAGTCCATTCCCGCACGGATTTATACGGGTATCTCCGTATACATTCACCATCCAATATGTATGGTCCATCTTCAGTCCAAATGGTACGAATTTGGACGAATATCTATTTTTGTTTGACTCACTGTTATCCCTAGTCAAAGTGATTAAAATACACTTTATAATATGTGGTATAATACTCAAATAGGTAGGATATCGGTTCCAAATCAAAAAAATATGTAAGAAATACATAAGTGATTTTCGGTCTCGGAACAAAACCTTACTTGAGGGAAAAGAGACTTGACATGTTTGATTGAAATGTGTTAGTTTGTTGTCATATTCCATTAATTTTATGGTCAAGAGTAAATCATACTAAAAGTCTGATTTTAAAATGTGAGTATTATGGTAATTTTTTAATTTCATTAACGGCGGTAATTAATTCACTTTAGTCCATAACTATGAGGAAATAATGTGTATACGTAATTTTAAATATCAAGTAGATAAGATATTTCTGACCGAAACCACAAGGGTTTAAAAAGCAATTAACTTTTTGAAAAATTCTATTTTGGACTCCAAAAGTTGACACTATTTGTTGACTCCATCAATCACATCATTGAATAGATAATGAGTCTCAATAAATGCTGATACTCGTAGTTAAATCAATGATAATTATTGATGAAATCAACTTTTGAAGTCCAAGTAACATTGCTCTTATACTTTTGTTTAAATTTTATGTAATGCTACATCAAGTTTTCTTTAAATAGCGATAATTTTAATTGAGAAAGAGAAGCCTTTTCATAAACTTTGGATTTTCCATTTGTCTATAGTTTAAATCAAGGATAAGATTATTATTGAGTAAATTTTTGGATGATGGTAAATATCCTAAGAAACAGTGTAATGGCATACCGGCCTTGATTGAATATCCTAAAAAAAACACTCCAACATCAATCTCTTTCTAATAATTAAGTTACTTCTTAAATGAAGATCTCTTCTTAAAATTAATCCCATTTTAAAATTAAATTCATTCTTAAAATTAATTATGGAATAAACATTAATTAAAACAATTACAAACTCTTAATTAAAATTTCTTTCTTTCAAACGAGAATGTAACATTAATTTAAGCGGGATCAACTGTACAAAACTATATTTCGTATTTTATTATCACCAACGGTTTATGAATCACTTGATTTTTGGCACATAATTTTATGGACTTTGATCGGGACATTTAAATCGTGAAAATACTCTCTTTGAATATGAGGTAACTTGGGCATACGTCACATCTAGAACTCTCCAAATTTTGGACTGACTTGAGTCTTGTGCACTACATTATCTTATAAATTATGCAGGATTCTGCCACATTAGTAACCTTGCATACCACCAATTGGAGTGGTCCAGTGAGATACATGTCAAATTTGTCACTCTGAAGTTGGAGGTTCGAGTTTTGGAATTCATATTGAGACTTGGTGATTGACTGCTATGTTAGTCTAGTTAGATTTGTTTTTAAGAGGTGTAACAGACGCGATCAAAAGCCTTATGATCCTACCAATAAAAATCTATCTGGGTGATTTATGGATACTCTTCTTTGATTGGTACTCATAGCGCACCATCTTTACTGGCATTGGTAGTTAACCTGAGTAAATTTTTTTACTTTTTGCCAAAATAATATTTTTATGTAAATATTCCCAATTAATTGTTTTCTAGAAAATAACACATGTCGTAGGTTTTCTTTTTGTTAATTAGAGAATGTCAACATACATGCAAAAAAGTACAAGACTTGCCTAAAAGATATTAAGTAATATAAAAATTATATGTCTCAAAAATTTGAGAATGTTTTTCATAAAGAATGTTATCGTGGCAAATCACTTCAATCATGTCCATTAAATCATTGACTCTCTCTGTCACTGCCCTTTTTTAAAACCTATGGCAGACCTTACCCTTAAGTTTTTGATATCTTTTTTTTATTTTTTTATGGATGAATTGTCCATTACACTCAGAAGAAGATTTAAGAATTTTTATTTAAAAGTGTTGTAATATATCATTTCGTTAATTTCTATTGCTCATTCTGTCAGCACTCATATAGTAATTTTTGACGGACTAAACAACGAAAGAATCACATTATAACCCTTTTAATATATTGAAGGAATAATATAAAAAATTTAACTTTGAAGGTACAAAGTTAGAGTTCTTAAATCTTTTAGGGTACAAGGTGCAAATTAATGACATGAACCTCGCATTGCTTTGAAAGAAAATAATCATACTTGAAGCATATCTGTCAAGGCAAAATATTCTACATCCCTCAAGTTCAGCATTGGTATAGAATACTCAGATGTATTATTTTTAGTGAAGTTCATAAGTTGTTTTATTAAACATTAATTCAACAAAATATGTCATGACATTATCTCGACTTTCATGAATTATGATATATTTAGGTTATAACATGCATTCCCTGTAAGTCAGATATATAAAATTTAAACCTCTTTTTCTTTTAATCAAACCTATCACTTATCGGGTTTTAATTTCTAATCGAAATCGCATTTTGACTGTGGGTATAAAATTCATCCGAGATAGATACTGATTAAGCTTAAAAATTATACTCGAATTTAAATTAAAATTGGAACCTATTTCTTCAGTCGAAAACCCTACAAATTACTTTACATGTCCAGGAACAAATGGCCTCTGAGAGCTTTTAGTAGTTGACCTGGTGAGAAGCATGATATTCACAACTTGTAGATGCAAAATCAAAACATGTTGGTCTCCATCACATCAATCTGTTCCCAAAATATTCTTTGGTTAATTGCATTTCATTGCATTCTCTCTGGACACTCTCAATTACTTATACCTCTCTTAGCATTCAAGTTCTTCCCCACAATTTCTTAATTTTCTCAGCTTCATATCTCTCTCTCTCTCTCTCTCTCTCTCTCTCTCTCTCTCTCTCTCTCTCTCTCTCGTACCTTCTCGGATCTTCAACATTTTCCCGCCACAAAAAAAGTCTTCAAAGTACCGAGGCGTGGGGTACAGCAACTTGCTCTATTTCAATGGCATTCGAGCTTATAAAATATTGGGCGGTGTTGATTATATTGTTGTTTTCTAGCTTGTCAAATTGGGTTAGTGGAGAACCGCAAGTTCCATGTTATTTCGTTTTTGGGGATTCCTTAGTCGATCATGGCAATAATAATGCCCTTCTCACATTAGCTAAAGCCAATTACCCTCCCAATGGGATTGATTTCCCCCGTGGATCCACAGGGAGGTTTTCAAATGGTCAAACATCGGCTGATATTACTGGTCTCGCGCTCTCTCTCCTAACTATTTTTCGCTTTTTAGTAGAATTGTTCATGTTGGTAGGGTTGATAAATTCAGAGACAATAGATAACAACTTGAAGTTTCTACGTTTAGAGTGAAGCTAATTGTGTTCATGTCTTAAATGACTAATATATAACAACTGGTTGATCTTTTTCTGCACGACCCGTCAATCTCATATGAGATGTTTTTTAAGTATAAATTTAGTCTCGACAAATTTAGAATGTAATCGTGTCTGTTTCATCACAGCTGAACTTCTAGGTTTTGACGAATACATTCCGGCGTTCGCCACTGCAAATGGAGAGGAGATACTGAAAGGTGTGAATTATGCATCTGCTGCAGCTGGAATTCGCAGGGAAAGTGGACAAGAGTTGGTAATGTTTACGTGCATAACTGCACAAGTTTTTTAATACCGTATTGAATCCAAATGAGTATCGGGCAGGGCCGGTTTGGCCCGGTCACACTGGACCGTGCCAATTTGTTGGCTAGGCCAGACCATTTGGAAATAGAATGGCCCACTGTTTGGTATATATATCTACTTTCACAAATAATATAATGTTTAATTGGAATACTAAATTTGAAATCAAAAGAGAAAAATACATTAATAGTCCCTCAAGTATGCGCTTCGTATTAGTTTAGTCCCTTCCCTCAACTTCTCAATTTATCACTATGGTCCAATAGAAAACATCAGTTTAAATTGACCAACAGAGATGTTTATCATGTGACCACACTTGAGGGGTCATTTTGATTCTTCAAATTTGTAACTTATGTCATTTTAATCCTTCAAATTAACAATTTGTGTCACTTGAGCCCTAAAATTTCCGAAACATGTGCCTCAAGTATGATCACGTGATATGCACATGATGATTTGCACTAGTAAATTCCAACTGCCGTTTTCTATTGGACCAAACTGAGACAAATTAAAAAATTGAGGATTAGATTGACACTATTAAAAGATTGGGGAAAAAAGAAAAACCGATTTCATTAATCAAACTCGTACTTAAAGGTCCAATAGCAAGGACGGTGGCTACTAGGCTGACTGTTAACTTCTCATTCTTACATTCAAGTTCTAAAATTTCTCTTTTTTGAACAGGGTGCTCGTTTCTGCCTAGATGATCAGCTAAGACATCATGAAACTATAATATCAAGTATTACCAATTTGCTAGGAAACAAAGACACAACTACAAAATATTTGAGCAAGTGCTTATATTCAATGGCATTGGGCAGCAATGACTACCTCAACAACTACTTCCTACCAATTTTGTACCCAACAAGCCTACAATATACCTCAGAACAGTATGCCGATGTTCTTATTTAACAATATTTTCAGCAAATAATGGTAAGTTGTCTACACATTGTTTTAAATAAGAGTAACGGTCATTGTGATCATAACGGAGATAGTAGAATAAATAGGAGGCATAAAAGAGGTTTCTGGAATAGAAATCAGAAGTAAGAGTTTTATTCTTTTTCACATGTCCCATTTGATATTTTTAATCAAAATAATGGTTTTTAGTTTTTTTTCGGAAAGTAATAATTGTATAAAAAGGAATCATAGAATGTACATATAAACAGAGTCTTTGAGAGAATATAGTGTAAACAAAAAAGGTGTACAACTGGTGATTAACTTGGACACGGTATTAGCATTCTTGTGTTGATTCTTAAATCTCCTCTTATTTCTTTCCATCTATAGGTAAGAGTAACAATTTTTGACACAATACAAGAACACGACTTGAAATCGATACGAAATTAATGGGATAAGATTGAATATTTTTTGACATGAATCCGTATGAGACGACACGTTAACATGAATAATAAATGAGTTAGTTTAGTGTTAAACACGAACAACACGAAATTGACACATTAACATATTTAAGTAGTATTATAAGAATAAAATATTTTATCAAGTAGCAACTTAAATCTTGTACAAAAAGTGATATTTTTATTCATTTTTATTTATTAAGTTAATTTTTAATGTATAAAAAAAGTATGAGCATAGATTCAATTATGTGATAATAAAATTTTAGACATAAAGTTAAGCGTTAAATTTTTTTATTCACGGGTTATGTAAGTCAACACGAAGATAATATGTCGACACGATACATTAATTAAAGGTGTTAGGTTAGGGTTAATTAGTATTTGATACGAACCCAAAATGACACGACTCAAACATGGTCCGACCCGACATGATTGCCACGATAGGTGGGATTTATAAGCATGTTGATCTAATATAGTGACAATCCGCATAACTTCCTATGACATCTTGTGTTTTTTTTTTCGGGGTTTTGTGACTGACTCTATACAACTATGGAGCAAGGCAGGTAGTCCTATATGGATTAGCACCGATGGGGTGCACCCCACATGCGATTGCTAACTATGGCACAAATGGCCTCCCATGTGCTGATAACATCAACAGGGCAGTCAAGTTTTTCAATAAAAGGCTTATATCTCTTCTTGATGCCCTCAACAATAATCTAACAGATGCAAATTTCATCTTTATAAATATTTATGATATGACAATTGAGGGCCTTGCAAACCATTCATCTCTTGGTATGTTTATATACTCTAATTATTCCTTATTTTTTGGTAAATCATAACGTATTTCAGTAAAATTACGCCTACCAAATTTTTATACCAAATCTTCCGTTCCAAAGTTGTAGCAAAAACACTAATTACTGGGCCCAACTGACCTAATTTGTTGATATAATGATGTGTCAAGCGACAGAGTCCCAATAGAGAAATTCAAAAATTACTATCACAATAACATTATTGGACCATGTCACTGCCACATTTTTACGTCAATAAATTAGATCAATTTTTTAGGTCTCAATAACATTCCTCTTAACTTAAAAAGAGAAAACAAATGAAACTGTTTTGATTTTTTGCTTTCAGGTTTCAGGGTAGCTAACACTGGGTGCTGTGGGCTAGGGAAGAACAATGGTCTACTTACATGTCTTCCTCTTCAAGTCCCATGTTTCAACAGGACTGAGTATGTCTTCTGGGATGCTTTCCATCCTACTAAGGCTGCAAATATAATCAGTGCTAGAAGATCATATGCTGCCCAAAATCCTTCTGATGCTTACCCGATTGATATAAGTCGCTTCGCTCGACTTTGACGAAGGAGATAGTGGTTGCAGAAGGGGTCCATATCTCCTCGAGTTCACTTTCTTTCAATTCCATCTAATACGTATTTCATCCACTGTCTACTTATGGGAAGCTTTATTATAGTGAATCTTACTTGAATTCATAACATATGATCTTTAATTGGAAGGGAACCAAGAAAATTCTTAGCAGAAGCATATAGAGAAGGAACGGATCAAGATCCAATCACCTAACATGTTTATACACTTACTATACTAATACTGCACACATATGAATATAGATATAGATATAGATAGACAAAAGTGGTAAGTGTAAGTACCAAAAAAATATAATTTGCGATATAGATGTAGATATGAGTATCTATTTTGGGATATGTTTTTCACCACACCGAAGCAGCAAATATAATTGGGAAGGAGATGATACAGTGCTCAATCTCGCTCCGATGCGTATCCATTTGATATTCGTCGCTTAGCTCAACCTTCAAGATAGATATGATTATGGACTTGGATCGTTTTTAATTTATTTTTAGTTTCATTTATTTTTAATAGTTGATTATTCATCATGGATTTAACTGATGTGCATGAAAATTAAACAAAAAATGTACTGTATCCTGAAATGGATATGAATCTAGCACTATATGTTTGGTTTAGGTATTGAGGGAGTAAATTGGATTACCTTAATCTAGTAATAATATAATACTAAGTTTGGATGAGATCATAGCGACCCGGTATTAATTTTAATTAATCCCGACTCGATTCACTATTGTCATTTAACACTTAATATTAGATAGTAATGAATATCATGAGGTCGGTGGTATTATTTTTACCAAATCAAGTATTAAAAACACAATGACTTTATTATTCTTACAAACCTAAACGAACACATTCAAATAAAAGTTACACATTACGAAAATTTTTACCCTCAATATTTAATTTGTCATTTTCAATTTAATACTATACACTATTACCTAACCCAAACATAAATTTGGTATTGTAATTATAGATTTTATACCTTATCCCAACCTTGATCCAAACTTGTTACACAATGTTATAATTAAATAGTACTCTTATTAACACCATATATATGGAATTGGATGGGAACCAATTACCCAATTCCATCATTTGTTTATACCTGAACTAAACTAGAGATGATATAACTCAAGTATTTATACTTTAACACACCACCTTACGTGCAGCCTAGATTTTGAGTTTTGCCAATAAAAACTCTTTTAATAATTAGAGTGACAGCGAGATTCGAACACAGAATCTCTTGCTTTGAAATTACGTTAAACAACTATCTATTCAAAAAACTTAAGTTATTGGATATGGTGTACCCTAAATATTTATTCTCTCCAATGTGCCAAATTCAAGAGAAAGAGCTACTATTCTTCCTGTCGCCCCAAGAAGGAAAAAGGAAGATACGTAAGAGCTTTTATTTCCAAAATTATTAGGGTTGAACAATCTAAAGTTTGTTATTTATACCATCCCTCATAAAAAGAGTCTTATCCAATACACAAGCATCCGTAAAATATTTTATGCTTTAATTCATAGCATCAAGCTTGTACACAGAAACCATGCATTCTTTCTTGAAATTCATTCAACTGTATTGAATTTTTGATGTGCAAATACTTTAACATAGTATCATAAGCAGTCCAGCAATACATTATGGACCAGCTGATTTTGGGCATAGTTATATTTGACTTCTGCCACAATCGTAACAGAATTTCTCCCATACCATGGATATCCGTAGTGCAGTCTATTTGTTTTTGGATTTTTCCTGCATAGGCAGCTTCTTACATACCCTGGCTATCGCACCTACGAGACTATAGAAAATTAAAGAATGTTCCACACATTGCCTTTGAACTTAAGAATATAACAATAAAACCGTTTTATTTGTTCTAAAATAATATAGTGGCACATTTCTTATGTCAAATTTTTTACTTGTGCCTAATTTCTTATGGTCCCGAGCATGTGCCATGTAGACTCATTAGGGCCCGTAAACTTGTGAAGTGCACAATTAATTGCAAAGTACACGTATTTTAGTGTACTAGGGCAGTTGGAATCTTGAAATATTTATCATTGAAAGAATGCCATCCGAACTACCTTACGGGTTCTATATGAACTTTTTCTTAGCATGAGTTGTCGAAACACGTTATATTCTCATTGTGTAGATGCACCAATCCAAAATGAGTGAGACCATGAATAATTCTTTAATCAAAATATTGTAACCAGTTTCATTTCATAACTTCTATTCTCTCTCTACACGCACTTATTTATGCATCTCTTTGCATTCAAGTTCTTCCCACAATTCCTAGTTTTTGTTTCTGTTCTATTTCACTCTTCTTTCCTTTACCACTCTTTGTCACAATGGTATATGAGCTTATAAAATCCTGGGCGGTCTTAATTTTGTTATTGTACTGTAGCTTGCTAAATTGGGTTGGTCGAGGGCCACAAGTCCCATGGTATTTCATTTTTGGGGATTCCCTGATCGATAATGGTAATAATAAAGCCCTTCTGACGTTGGCTAAAGCCAATTACCTACAACATGGGATTGATTTTTGTAGTGGGCCCGCTGGAAGGTTTTCTAATGGTTGAACTATATAAATAATAATTTTTACACGTCTGTTGCATATTTATAGAAAAGTTGTTTCATTTTTTTTTTTCACTTTGCTCTGACACATCAGCAAGTTTTGTTCAAAAATATAGCTGATGTTTATGATCGAGGCAATGTGAAAAATTCAATAGTGTAAAGGATAAAGCGAAATCGAGTCTATAGTTTAAGAAATCAAAGTATAATTTATCCTCTTGAAAATTTGAGGGAGGGCATGGTCCTCTTGGCTACAAAGGGGGATGTACCAAAAAAACCTAAAATGGAAAAAAATGATTCATGTGAGGGAGAGTGTTGGTACCCACACGTGAAGAGATGCAAGAAGCAATCCAAATCGACTGTTGCGTACCGAAATAGATACGGATATGGTTCAATATACAAGGTATGGAACTAATTGTTGCCTACCGAAAAATTGGAAATTCTATGGCACCGAAAAATAAGAAGTTAAAACTATACAAAAGAAGATCATGATGGATCATAGACACTTATAATTGATCATGAAATCTCGGTATCGATCTCAACTTGTATTGTCGATTATGTCTTTTAAAGTTATAACTTTCACCTCAAAAAAATTATAATTTTATCTAAAAAATTATAAATTTGGGTACCCGTACCGCCGTGCTATCCTTTCCCCCAACTTATATATACAACCACATTCTAACAAATCTTGACTTTTAGTTTCCATTATTCTGGTGCATTCAGTGTCTTGGCCTTTTTGTTTTGCAACTAAGTTTGGTCTAAGCCATGTAAAGCGATGATCCATCAGATATTTGACCATTTCTGTTACAAAATCTCAGTTGAGGATTTTCCTTCATGATGTAGACAAAGAAAGAATATTTTTAAACCTAGCAGTCTTCCTGATTGAATGTATTCAATAGACTATTGCATAGATGGAAGATATTCTGGCCCTTTTCAAGAAGTCTTACAAAATTGATAAAATTATAATTTGATCCCTCAACTACGATTCCTGACCCACACATTACCCATAAAATATCATATTTCAGCTATTAGAATCATTATAAATTTGGCAAAAAACTATCTCACTTTTGAAGTATATGTGAGTTTGTTCTGCTTTGTCTCGACACGTCGACATTTTTTTATTTGAAAGAATGTAATAGTTGATGATATCAAGTAATTGAGGAGACAAGTTAAAAAATATAATAGTTGATGATGCAAAGTGAGTTCGAGACAATAATTGAGGAGGAAAGAGTGTAATCTACCTGATGTAGAGTACATGGTGGCCCTTTTCAACAAGCAATAAAAAAGTTTATCCCAAGAGAAACACTAGTTTTCCCATTCCTAAGGGAACTTGTCCCATGTGGAATTCGGGGTTTGTTAGGATAATGCAAAAGGGATAGCCGTACAAGCAATGGCAAGTGACGATTGAAATTGGGTGGGGCTATTTTCGCCTCATAAATTTTCATTTTCACATCATTAAAAATTTTTATAATTAAACTATCAAGTTCTCTCCTTCTATACCCACCTCATTTTAACTAAGTTAACCTAATGCTATACACACCTCTTTAATAAACAAGTTTACCTTGTTGAGATTTAACTTCGATTTAAATCCACTAACAAACACACACAATCGAAGAACAAATCAAGAATATAAAACAATAAGAAACAAGAAAGAACAAGACACAGATTTTACGTGGTTCGGCAATTTGCCTACGTCCACGAAACTGCAAGGATTTCACTATTGAGAGAGTTGAATTACAGAGAGCGGCTGTACAATCCACAACCAACCCTAATCACCAAAACAACAGGGTTTATATGTCCTACGCACTGGGCTGTATAACGGGCCCAAGCCTTCGCTCCATGGACTAAGCCTCAGAAAATTTTCCATTAAAAACCACACAACATTATTTCGGGTCGGGTCATCATCCGGATCACATATACAAACTAGACTCCATAAAAAAAACCAACAATTCTCCCACTTGGAGACTAATTCAAACACCAACATCAAACTGCAATCCTTCCAAAACACAATCTCTCATCCCCCCTGCAGCTCTTCCTCTTGTCCTCAAGCTGAGAGACCCACAGAAGCTGAACAAGACTTCAGCTTCTCCATAGTAACCACTTTCGTAAACATATCTGCCGGATTATCCCTTGTGTGAATCTTCTCCAAAGTGAACTCTCCATCCTCCAACAAAGAGCGAATAAAGTGATACTTTATGTCGATATGCTTGGGTCTCGAATGAAAGGCTGCATTTTTTGCCAGATGTATAGCACTCTGACTATCGCTGAATAATTTAGAATTGTCTTGCTCTTTACCCAACTCTTTCATGAAACTCCTCAGCCATACCATCTCCTTGCATGCCTCCGTGGCTGCAACATACTCTGCCTCTGTTGTTGAAATAGTCACTATTTTCTGTAGCTTCGAGACCCAACTGACTGCTGCACTGCC